CAGCGTGCGAGTTGATTTTGTGAGAGGTGAAAGGTGGGGGTCCGGATTTAGCGCCTTTCTACGGGGGGTTATCCAGTTTTTTCCCCAGCACCATTTATTGAATAAGGGATTCTTTTCCCGGATACACGGCATACTGTTTTGTCTGCCTTGTCAAGTTAGATGCTATACTGAGGATGGTTTTTTATATTAGGATGTGTTCAGCATCTGTCTCCACTGGTCAATTTCCTATTTTTGTGCCAATACCATATTGATTTAATGTACTACAGCTTGTAGTGATAATTTGATATCTGGCAATAGTTAAATGCCTCCCATTTTGTTTTGTTGCCCTAGAATTGCTTGCTGATATTGGGGTCTTCTTTGGTTCCCATATGAAGCGTAAAATATTTTTTCTATATCTATGAAGAATTGATTCCGGGGATTTTAAATAGGTATTGCGAATTGATCTGTGATCAGTTTGTGGTAGTTAGACATTTTAATGATGTTGAGTTCCGATCCACGAGCATCGGTACGGATTTCCATCTGTTTTACCAATCCTGCTGCCTATTTCTTCCTCAGTGTATAGTTCTCCCTGTAGAGGTCTTTTACCTCCTTGGTTTAAGTATATCTCTAGTACTTTAATTTCTTTGTTGCTATTGTGAAGGGAATTGAGTCTTTGATTGGTTCTCATTTAGATTGTTGTTGGTTATATGAATCCTCTGATTTCTGTGTATTTGATTTTGTATCCTGAGACTTTACTAATTCATGTGATCAGTTCCACAGGAGTTTCTGTTGAGATCTTGTGGGATGTCTTCTAGATATGAATATCATATATCAGCAACAGTGAAAATGTTGATCTCTTCTGCCCTATTGTGGATACCTTTATTTCATTTGGCCTTTCTGACTGCTTAGCCAGGGACTTAGCACTATGTTGACCACAGAATTGGAGACAGTGGGGCAGCCATTGTCTGGGTTCCAGTTTTCTAAGTGGAATGATTTCAATTTTCCCTCCCATTCGTATGATGGTTGGCTATGGGTCTAGTCATATATGGCTTATATCATTTTAGGCTAATCGTTCCTTCTAGCTATTTTATAAGTGTTCGTATGCATGAAAGATGTTGAATTTGTCAAAGCTTTTCTGCATCTATCGAAAGAATGATGTGGTCTTTGTTTTGCTTCTCTGTTATTGGTTAAAATTGGCATTTATAGATTTATGTATGTTGAACGCATCCCTGCATCCTGGATGAAGCCCACTTGGTCATGATGATTATTTTTTTTGATAAGTGTTGGATCGGTTAGCTAAGATTTGTGAAAATTTTTGCATCTATATTTTATTAGATTGGGTCTGTAGTTTTCGCTTTTTGTTGCATCCTTTCCTGGTTTTGGTATCAGAGTAATATCCACTTCATAAAAGGTGTCGGGGAGGTTTCCATTCTTCTCGATGTGTGGAATAGTTCTGTGCAAGATAGGTACTAGTTCTTCTTTGTAAGTGTGGTAAATTTGGGTGTTGAAACCATCTGAACCCGGGCTATTTTTCTTTTTAGGGAGAATTTTAATTGCTGATTCTATTTCAGCTCTTGAGATTGGTCTGTTCAGGGAATCTATTTCTTCCTGGTTGAGCCTAGGGAGGCTGTGTGTTTCTAGAAATTTGTCCATTTCCTCCACATTTTCCAGTTTGTGTGCATAAAGATTTTTGTAGTATTCATAAATTATAATCTTGTATCTCTTTGGGATCACTTGTGAATATCTCCTTTTTTGTTCCTGATGGAGCTTATTAGAGATTTCTCTTTCTGCTTTTCGTTAGCGTTAGCCAATGGCGTGTCAATTTTGTTTTATTTTTCAAGAACCAACTTTTGTTTTATTAATCTCCTGAATAGCTTCCCTGTTTCAATTTCGTTTAGTTCGATTTGATCTTGTTATGATTTCACTTCTTCTGCTGGTTTGGGGTTGGTCTGTTCTTCTTTTTCCAGCTCTTTGAGTCGTTTCAATGATTGTCTACTTGTGATCCTTTCTGTCTTTTGGTTATAGGCATTTAGGAGATAAACTTTCCTCTCAGAACTGCTTTAGCTGTGTCCCAGAGGATTGATAACTTGTCTCCCCATTGTCATTTTGGTTCATAGAATTTTTTATTTCCATCTTGATTTCTCATTATGAAGTAATCATTTAGTAGGAGTTGTTTAATTTCCACGTTTTTGTGTAGAAATGTGAGTTCTGTTAGGGTGGATTTCTACTTTTATTCCCTGTGATCCGAGAAGGCACATGGTATGATTTCTATTTTTTTAAATTTCTTGAGATTTACTTTGTGTCCTAGGATATGGTCAATCTTAGAGAATGTCCCGTGAGCTCATGAGAAGAACGTATATTCAGTGGATTTTGGGTAGAATGTCCTGTAAATGTCAGTCAGGCCCAATTGTTCCAGAGTTTTGTTTAAGTCCATTACTTCTTTATTAATTTTCTGTTTGGAGGATCTGTCTTGTGCTGTCAGTGGGTGTTGAAATCTCCGGTGATTATGGAGTTGCTATTAATCAATTTGCTTAGATCCAGTAAGGTTTGCTTTATGAATCTGGGTGCACCTAAGTTGGGTGCATATATATTTAAAATTGTTATCTCTTCTTGTTGAACTGTGCCCTTCACCATTATATAATGACCCTCTTTGTCTTTCACTACTTTTGTTGGTTTAAAAACTAAATCGTCTGAAATTAGAACTTCCACATCTGCCTTCTTTTGGCTTCTATTTGCTTGGAATATCCCGTTCCCTGGAGGTGCCTCCGGCTGGTGGCTGTATTGTCTCTCTGGGCAGCCGCAGGTAGGGTCGGCAGAGGGGTGAAGGAGGCAATATGGCGCTTACTGAGCGGCTCGGGTCTGTGCACACGGAGGTGCCCTGAGGGATTTGGGAGTCTGGTGCCACGTCCGCTACAGGCTCACTGCTAGCTGGCTGCGGCCGTCTCTGGGCTGGTGTCCGCAGGTCTCTCCACCCGCTGGGAAGCCCACCAGCAGTCCCAAATGCAGGGGAGGGGAAAGGTGATTTAGCCACCTACCCTTGCCGCTGGTCTTCCAGGCTGCTCCGGTGGTCTCAGCTTCCAGTTCTCCTCCGCAGCCTCCTCCCGTGGAGTCTCCTGGGGTCTCAGGTACTCCTCCTTCCGGCCCTCGTCCACTGTATGCTTCTTTTTTCTAATTTCTGCTAGAATCTGTCTTTTCTGCAGAGACACCTTGTCTGGCAGTGTTTCTCGTCCACCATCTTGATCCTCTCCACATTTAAATATTAATGGAATAAATAACATAATAAAGATGAAAGAATCTTAACTATGTTAAAGGATAATTAAAATATTTGTACCTCCATAATATGATGAAATAAAAAAAAGATTAAAATAATATTCTCAAAGTCTGTCTGGAAAAAAGAAAGAATACTCTTCTGCATGTTTTTAAAAATTATGGTAAAATATATATAAATAAAATCGTCCATTTTAGCCATTTTTCTTTTATTTTTAGTTGACACATAATGATTACACATATATGTAGGATACAAAGTGATATTTTGATACAAGTATACCATGGGTAAGGATCAAATCAGGGTAATTAGCATATCCATCACCTCAAACATTTATAATTTCTTAGCATTGAGAACATTCAAAATCCTTTCTTCTAGCTTTTAAAAAATATACAATGAATGGTAGTTAGCTATATTCACACTACAGTGCTGCAACACCAGAACTCATTCTTCAGGTCTAGCTGTAATTTTGTGTCATTAACCAATCTCTCCCTGTTCTCTCCTCCCCCAAACCTTTCCCAGCCTCTACTGCCCACAATTCTACTCTCTATTGCCATAAGATCAATATTTTTTTTTTTTTGGCTTATACATATAAGTTAGAACGTCCAGCAATTATCTTTTTGTACCTGACATGCTGTTTAACATAATGTCCTCCAGGCTATCCATGCTGTCACAAATCACAGAATTTCATTCTTTTTATGGCTGAAGAGTATTCCATTGAGTATATAAACCACATTTCCTTTATCCTTTCTTCTGTTAATGGCCATGTAGGTTGATTCCATATCTTAGCTATTCTGAATAGTGCTACAATAAACATGAAAATTTAGGTATCATTTTGATATACGGATTTTCTTTCCTTTGGATACCCAGTAGTAGGATTACTGAATTGTATAGTAGTTCTATTTTTAGTTTTTTGAGAAAACTTCAATTTTCCAAAATGGCTATACTGATTTATACTCCCACCAACAGTGTATAAGAGCTCCCTTTTCTTCACAGCATCACCAGCATTTATTTTTTGTCTTTTTGATAATATCCATTTTAGCTAGGGTGAGATGATACTTCATTGTGGTTTTGATTTGCACTTCCCTGATGATTACTGATGTCAAGTATTTTTTCATATATTTGTTAGCCATTTTTATGTCTGCTTATGAGGTATGAGGCATGCTTATTCAGATATTCTGCCCACTTTTTAATCTGGTTATTTGGGGGTTTTGCCTTGTATATTCTAGATATTAGTCCCTTGTCAAATGAATAATTTGTAAATATTTTTTCCCATTCTACAAGTTGTCTCTTTCTTCTACTGGTTGTTTCCTCTGCTGTACAGAAGCTTTTTAGCTTAATATAGTACCATTTGTTTATTTTTGTTTTTGTTGCCTGTGCTTTTGAAGTCTTAGTTATAAAATCTTTGCCTGGACCCACATCCTGAAGCAGTGTTCCTATGTTTTCTTTTAGTGGTTTTATAGTTTTAGGTCTTACACGTAAGTCTTAATCCACTTTGAGTAAACTTTTGTATATGGTGATACATGGGGGTCTAGTTTCATTCTTCTGCACAGGGGTATCCAGTTTTCCCAGCACCATTTATTGAAGAAGGTGTCCCTTCCCCAGTAAATATTCTGGTACCTTTGTCAAAAATCAGATGACCTTAGATTAGACAAAACTACATCATACCTTCTTCCTAAACATGAAAGACACCTACTACGGATTCTTCTTGTTGGATTTTGGGGCTTATGTCTTGGTTTATATTTCCTTATGCATTCTTAGAGGTGTGTGCATGTCTACCTTGGTCTAGCTGGGCAGACAGCCAAAGTATGAAAAGCACAGATTCTTCCTACCAGTAGTCTACAGCCTACAGAATGGCATCCAGTGTGATGGGGTGGAACATGATGTGTCTCTGAATTCCATGTGGGGGTAAAGTGGGTGACCTCAAATTTCCTGTGTCTGCCCACAGTTCAGAAGTTTGGGGGCATACTTCATATCGTACCATCTGTTCTGGTTCAGTGCATAAGAATCCAAGTCTCTGAGGAAGGTGACATAGTACACAATCACTGGACCAAGAGCTTTGGCTGCACCTCCTCTGGGAAACCTGGCCATGGGGCTCTTCCTGATCATTGCAATTTTGCTGTTCCAGAAACCAACAGGTAACCCAGAGCTTTCCAGGGATTCAGTTAAATCAACAATGGGATGAAGCATTTTCAAGAGTCTAAGGCAATTTCATAATCCACAGTAGAAGGCACAGGGCCTCCAAGGATGGCTAAAATCTATCCAACATTATCAGAAATTTCCTTTCCCCGGGTCTTATACCATGGTACTGTCCTTAAAAAGAAGTACTCACAGAGCTGAAAAGAAGTCATAGCGTCTTCTGGGAAGGGTTTTTTATAGAAGGGAATGAGTCCAGTAACTAGGGGTACCCTTATTTTTAGGGATACAGTTTTTGCTCTGGCACTCAGCCATATTTTCTTCCACTCAAATATATATTTTAGCCTGTTGTGCTACGGTGTGTGAATAGTGGAAGAAGTAAACTTTGGGGTCAGATCTAAGAAACATGCCTTCAATATCTATTAGTTTGTCAGCTTTGAATAAGAAGCAAAGACTATGAGTCTCAGTTTCCTCATCTGCAGAGATAAAGACACATGGCTCACAGAGGTTTTATTAACTGATATGACATATGTGAAGCACCTAGCATGGCGCCAGGGACATACTAAGAACTTAAAAATTAGAGTTTCCTTTCCCCTTTCAAACGAGATCTTTTGTATTTGTACCTTATTATAGGAATAATAATGATCTATCCCTGGCCTCCTAGATTCCTAAGACTCAAAGGAGTTCTAGAATTTGGAGTTGAAAGAATCATCTTGGTTCTCAGTCTTCATCCTCTGGGGTCTAGTCCAGGAGTTAGTACAAACCCAGGAGCCAAAATTTGAGCATCCATAATCTTAGATCATCAAAAGAGTTTAGGATCACTGAAGAACTAAATATATATCAAGGTTAGCAACAGTGCAGGACTGAACATTGGAGGAATTCTTGCCTCTGGAGGTGGAAGGAGAATGAAGAGTCACCGAGGAATAAAACAAATCCAAGAGTTCGAAGGACATCCATATTGCTGTGATGACACAGAAGCCAAAGGAAGATGTGAATCAGCAGAAGCGTACAATGCTGAGAATAAATAAGGGAGGAAGATTAGTAAGGGAAAAAACACCTGACTGGATAGCAAGAAAGGCATTCTTGACCTCAGTAGGGAATAGTTTCAAGAGAATGGTTTGACTCAGATAATAAATACACAGTGACAACATACTGTTCTCTGGACATCAGAGGTGTGGCAGTCGTAGGAGGTAGTAGTGTCCTGGGAGCATTCAGGATGGAGGCAGACTTGCTGCAGTTCCCATGCGGAACTTAGTTCCACATTCTGGAATCAAGGACTCAGCTTCTTTATTTTCTCCAACAAGATCTTATGTTCTTGGTGGAGTCTATTGGATGTTGAAAGAAGGCCCAAAACCTTACAGGACCTAAATATGAGTGATCCAGTTAAACCCCTAAGGTTCACTTTGCTGGAGAATTTTCTTTGGGATATTAGAAGAATACACCTTGTGGACACCCCATGCCTCTAAGTCCCACAAGCTTCCTCTGCCTCCCCCATAACAGAGGCTGCCTTCAGTCCCAAATTCTGATCTTGCCCTATTGCTTTTATGTGCACAGTAACTGAACAACTTAAGAAGTGCTGGGATGACCATATACAAGGACATTGCAGGAGAATCTGCAAAATAACTGAAAGACGTGAGGTGCTATGTGGACATGAGTGATGCTGTTGCCTCAGTAACAAGGACATAGAAGCTCGTAAAAGAATCACACAGCCACCTTGTCCAGAACCGCCAGAACTTGCACTGACTCTTCCTCAAGATGAAGATATAAAACACACTTCCTCAACCTACAACATATATTCTACATAAATCAAGTACAATTTTCTGTTCATTCATTTCTCAATCTATTCTAATAAACTAAGGTGACAAGATCCACATCTTTTCCCTTCTGGTTTCTTGGTCCCCAGAATGACCTTAAAGCAGATTCTAATAAACCTCATTGACAGTTTTCTGACTCGGTTGTTCTTTAACCAGAGAATGAACACTCATTCTATACCAGGTAATGATTTCATGAGAACCACTCAGAACCTGTCCTTGAAAACGAAATCTAACCAGTGCACTAAAAAAATAAATAAATAAAAATTTATAAAGAAAATATGAAAGACTAGAATAAGAAACCCAGGAAAACTGACATGTAATTTTTAGGAGAGGCAAAGGTGAAGCCAGTATTCAAGGTAAATTCAAAGTGAGTTTAAGATTAAAGCAGGCCTTGTAAAATGCGTAGGATTTCAATACATGAGTGTTAAAAGAGAAGGCAATTTGAGTAAACAGAAGGGTGACAACTAATGGAAGGAAATTGGGAAAGACAAAACACTCAGGAAACTACACATGCACTTTGGATGAAGAACAGAGCACACAAAGTTGAACTATGGGGAAGTCTGATTTCTTAGGCTTCTGCGTACCAGCAGTGAACTGGGAAGTTAGATATAAATAGGATTCCACTGTCATGGAGCTCACCATATAAGGTGGAGAAAGACCTAAATAAATAACTCTAAGTCAGAAATGTTTAGGTTTTTGTTGTTGCTCTTTGTTACTGTTGCTCATGTGCTCATCCTTTTGGTAACTGGAACCATTTGGAGCTGAGAGGAAATGTAAAAGACCTGAGAATTGGTCTGAATTGCAGTACTGTATCAGATTTTCTTGTTGTCTTGATATGCAAGACAACACAAGAATAATCCAGGTCTATATTCTGCCTAATATTCAAAGATATACCTTCTAAATATGATCAACATGAAAAGTTTCTTCTCCAACTACATTTCACACTCATTTTCCATGTTGCAAACAATTCATCCAACCAGGGACTAATAACCAGAATATACATGGTACTCAATAGGAAAAAAACCCAAATATTTAATAATCCCATTAAAAAGTGGGCAAACGTCATGAATAGAATATACATTTCTCTAAAGAAGAAATATAAATGTCCAAAAAGTATGTGAAAATGTTCAACATCATTAATAATCAGAGACATGCAAATCAAAACCACAATGAGATATCATCTTACACTAGTTAGAATGCCTATTACTAAAAAGACAAAAAATAACCAATGCTGACAAGAATGTGGAGAAAAGAGAACTCTTGTAAACTATTGGTGGTAATGTTACATTATGTAATGTTCAGCCACTATGGAAAACAGTATGGAGATTTCTCAAAAAACTTAAAATAGAACCACTGTACGGTCCAGCAATCCCACTACTGGGTATTCGAGGGAAAAGAAATCAATATATCAATTTATTGCACCTGCACCCCCATGTTTATTGTAGTACTATTCACAATAACAAAGATATAATAATAGAATCAACCTAAATGTCTGAGAGTGGATGAATGGATAAAGAAAATGTATATATACACAATGGAGTACTATTCAGCCATTTAAAAAGAATAAAATCATGTCATTTGCAACAATGTGGATGGAACTGTAGGTCACTATCTTAAGTTGAATAAGCCAGGCACAGAAAGACAAGTACCCTTGTTATCGTTTTTATGTGGGAGCTAAAAAATTTGAATACATGGAGGCAGAGAGTGAAAAGAGAGATAACAGAGAGTGAGAAGGGTGAGTTGGGAGAGGGGAGGATGAATAGAGGTAGGTTAAAGGGTTACAGCATACAGTTAAACAGAAGTAATAAATTCAGTGTTTGATAGCAGAGTAGGGTGACTATACTTAATAAAAATGTAATATACTCACATGATGGACACCGTAAATGCCCTGACTCGATCACTATACATAATATACATGTAACAAAATTTCACATGTACCCTGTAAATTTGCACAAATAAAAAAAAAATCTATGAATTAGATTTTGGAGAATGCTCTAAAATAGATCCAAGAAAAATAAACTGCCCGTACCAAATGGGTGAATAATGAAAATATAGGATTTTCCTAGCACTCTGGGAGGCTGAGGCAGGAGGATCGTTTGAGCTCAGGAGTTCGGGCCCAGCCTGAGCAAGAGCAGGACTCCGTCTCTACTAAAAAAAAAAAAAAAAAAATAGAAAGAAATTGGCTGGACAATTAAAAATATATAGAAAAAATCAGCCGGACATGGTGGCACATGCCTATAGTCCCAGCTACTCGGGAGGCTAAAACAGAAGGATCACTTGAGCCCAGGAGTTTGAGGTTGCTGTGAGCTAGGCTGACGCCACGTCACTCTAGCCCAGCAACAGAGTGAGACTCTGTCTCAAAAAAATAAAAAATAAAAATATAATATGTTAATTTAATTTTGTATTAATAGATAATACATAGATAATAGATATAATAATAGATAAAAATATGGTAGACAAATAAGCATACATATAACAATACTGACCACACCCACTTCTCCTATGAGTATGGAGAGAATATAGGTTAATGGGGAAAAAGTCAAAGCAAAGATTAGGTCCAACCAGTCAAAGTAGAACTCAAGGCTTAATTTTATCTGTTCAGTTAATTATATGCATCTCCTCCAACTCAGGAGACATTTCCCTGATTTATCTGACACTAACTAAGGCAAAATGGATTCTTGGATCTAATTTATCAATGGACTCATATAGAGTAGAGGACTCATATAGATTAAAAACAGTAGGCCAGACCCATCTTCAGTCTTATAGTGACAGAATGACCCTTCTTAAAATTGCCCCTCCTGACACTGTGATAAAAGATTAAAGAGGAGAGGTGCTTGTGAAAAGTTTCAGTGAAAAAAGGCTTTCTTATGTGAGCCTTATGATAAAACCTCTCTCAGAATTAAGTTGTAAACAGCCATGTATTAGCTTCCACAGTGCTGAAATCATCAACAAAAACGTCTTGAATTCTGCAATCAAGGTCCAGTCATTGTTTCCTACACACTTCTCCAAAATTCCCAAAAGCCACAGTTACTAAAATGAAGGTCCTTGGGTGCTCTTGAAACTTGAACATATCCATCTGGATTTTTATCTGTCTCCCCAGTAAATCAAGATGGTAAGCTGCTCATAGAGGAAGAAGCCCTATCAATTTCTTCATCCTTCATGAGTAAATGTTAGCCCCACCAAAGTTACTTATGGCCAATGCTTTAACTCAAGCAACGTCAATGGATGTCACCACAAAAGTTTCTGTTCTTCTCATATGGAGAGCAGTTCATACCATCATGTCCTACTGCAAATTTATCTAGCTCATGAGGAGCTTCTTAAGCATGTCCTCCTCAATAAGACTTTAAATTTCATTCTATTGAAACAAACAGAACTTGCACTGCTTTCAAAGATCCTAAGAGTAATATTTGTCTGAAAATTGTGTCAACTAGTCATTCAAATTGCTACTTAAAAAGGAGATGGAGCAGGCACATTAAATGAGTTTTCAATGATATGTATTGGAATTACCACTTGCTGTCATGACTGCTTATCAGATCTACCCCAATAAATGTCATGAAAATGTTCAAATGTCTTTCTTCCCTCTAATGTATTATTAGCTTTTAGCAAATCCTCTATATTCATAAACACAAGTGCATGCACACACACACACACACACACAAAGTCGGGGCATTCAGATCTGCTTGGATATAACAAATTTCATTTTTCAAAGAAGGAGAAACACCTGAAATCCTGACATTCTATTAACTATTGTCTTGCATGGAAAACAGAAGGACTAACTTCTGCCTCCACCAATGTGTTCACTTCAACTTTATATCCCCCATCTTAGTAGTATAATACCTGGAACATGGCAACTCCATTCATGTTTGAAGTGTTCTCAAAACTGAGTGACTACATCAATAAACAAATCCAGGGAACAGCATAGAACTTTATTAGGTGGGGAATCAAGTTCACAGAAGGAAGCAGATAAATTTCTTGCTGCAGCCTGCTGGATTAGGCAGCATTTCTGATTTAGGAAGAGTGTAGACCAGTGAGACATGGGCTTGCTTTAGGGCATGACTGTGAAATAGGTGACAGTGGGCAGCATAAGGTAGTCCATCTTCTCATCAAACGCATCGTTATCAGGTTCTTTCGGCTTGTAAGCTTTCAAATGTGTTTTGTTTTCTTCTTCAATAACACAACATAATTTCCCATTTAGACATTTCGATTCATAGATTTCCCCTATTTTGCATTTCTTCCTGCAGTAGCCTGTTACATTATTAAAGCATTTTTTGAGTCCTGCCCCATCTGCTCATGGAAACAACATTGAACCAAGGTTAGTTCATGAAGGAAAGCTGAATAGGTTTTCCACAAGTCATGGCCTCCTGTGCTCCCAAAGTCAATCTTATGCCAATAAAAGGAAACTCAGAAACTCCCCACTCCTTGAAAAGTATCCCAAATTAAGGCCATTCAAAACCCCAGGCTCCTAGCCAACACTTAGTTGGCTCTGAGAACATTAGAACTTACATGATAAAGAGAAGAGAGAGAGATCAATTCCCGGTTATTGACTGGAGCCAAGTCCCACCCCAGGACCTTGGCAAAGCTGACTGTCTCCTCCAAGCTCCAAAGTCAGCACTCCCTCAGTCCTGCCTCCATCCCGCGTCCCCAGGGAGCACTAACTTGTCAGCATCAGCACAATTCAGAGCCAAAGCAACTTCTAAAAGAACATCACAAGCCAGGCACGGTGAATCACACCTGTAATCCTAGCACTCTGGGAGGCAGAAGTGGGGGGATCGCTCAAGGTCAAGAGTTCGAGACCAGCCTGAGCAAGAGCGAGACCCCATCTCTACTAAAAAAATTTTAAAAATTAATTGGCCAACTAAAAATATATAGAAAAAATTAGCTGGGCATGGTAGCACATGCCTATAGTTCCAGCTACTCAGGAGGCTGAGGCAGGAGGATTGCTTAAGCCCAGGACTTTGAGGTTGCTGTGAGCTAGGCTGACGCCACGGCATTCTTCCCCGGGCAACAAAGTGAGACTCTGTCTCAAAAAAAGAAAACGAACATCACAGCCAGGACCTTTTAAGTTAACAGTGTAATTGGGTATCACACTCGCTGATATGGGAAGCAGCAACCTCCCTTTGCCAAGATCTCCTGGGTTTTAGCAGTTGATGCTGTTGAGAAAGCTTTCCCTATTCAGCCCGTATGACTCCACAACCTGGCTCCTCCTATCTCTCATCCTCCACACTCCTTTTGATCTCAGATAAATGTATTGCCCAAGGATGAAACTCAATTCCATGAATATCTGTCTCCTTGGAGATCCAAACGGTCACCTGTTTGGGGTAGTATGTTGAGACCCTAAATCTCTTTGTTTCTAATTCTTATTTGCCCCTCTAGACAAAATGTTGACAACCCCACAAAATAAAGATGGAGAACAGAGACATGTTCTCTGTATCCTAAACTCCAGAATCAGGGAATATCTTTGGAGGTTAGAGGGCTATGTTTGGGGGCCACAAAAAGACAATATCCCTTCTTCCTCGCAAGAGAAAAGTTGAACTCTCACTGATAGGTCTCCTACCATAAACTTGACACTTCACATTTGTAAGCTCATGTAATCCTCACATGAAATAGAATCATTATTAAATAGTCATTGCACTTATTTGACAGATGATAAAATTGAGATTACAAGAGAATAATGTGCTCAATTCATACAACTAGTCTATGGTGAAGACATATTTTAACCTCACATTGACATGATTCCAGACCATGTACTCTTCTCTTTACTGTTATAGTACAGTCTGAAAATGAATTTGGATGGAAAAGGGGATGGCCAGGTTCTCGAGTGAAAACAGTGTTCAGCATTATAAAGATAATTCTAGGTGATGGGTTCACCGATACCTCTGAAAAGAACCCCTGAAAGTACAGCCCTGACTTCCTCTTACCTCCCTGCAAGTTCTTTTAAGGCACAGACTCAAGTCAGGCTCCCAGGAGGATGGGCATTTTTTATGATATTGGCCAGATATCAACAATCTTGAAGGTCCTGTCCCCACTCTTTTTTGTTTTGAGACAGAGTCTCACTCTGTTGCTCAGGCTAGAGTGCCATGGCATCAGCCTAGCTCACAGCAACCTTAAACTCCTGGGCTCAAGCAATCCTATTGCCTCATCCTCCCGAGTAGCTGGACTACAGGCATAATGCCACCATGCCCGGCTAATTTTATATATATATATATATATATATATATATATTAGTTGTCCAGCTAATTTCTTTCTATTTTTTTTAGCAGAGATGGGGGTCTCACTCTTCCTCAGGCTGGTCTTGAACTTCTGAGCTCAAACGATCCACCCACCTCAGCCTCCCAGAGTGCTAGCATTACGGGCATGAGCCATCATGCCTGACCTCCATCCCCATTCTTATGAACAGTAATATCTCCTAGGATTTTATGGTACATTTGGACAAGTTACCTGTGGGTACCTCAAACAGCAGAATAATAAGAACCAGAAACAGCTTCATGTTTACAGACTTCCCAAGAGAAAGAGGCAACAGAACTTCTTTGTTCAGTGGTCTGTATCCCACAGGTTCTTTCAAGATGAGCTAGAGTTTTAAATGTAATCAGCATTCTGAACTCTCATTTTAACCCACATGGACAGACAGGAAATCCAAGTCTATCCCCACCTACGTTCCCAAATATGGAGTTCACAGTCACAGAATGTTCCACCATATCATACCTACCCCCCCTTTCTCAGGATGAGTGTCTAGAGAGCAGGAACTAAGATTTCTCCACCTGAGCTGTCAGCCCACTTGGATCAAGGTTGGTTGGTCATATGCTCTGGTTTGCGTGGGACAGTCTTGGCTTATTCCTATCGTTCCAATGTCCCATCCAGCTAGTGCTGCCTCTCGCTCACAAAAGTAACCCTGTTGGGAAGATAAATTAGTCAAAGTAGACACAGAAGCACGTCCAATAATATTTTTTTAAATCTATAAAATTTCTATATAGTCATTCTAGGAGTAAGGATTGCTTTCAGGTTTGCCTAGATAAATTGATATTATTTGAGAGTTTCCCAGAAAGTCTTACCCATCTAGTAATCCTTGAGAGTTTCCCATAAATCCTTACTCATCCAGTAATCCTTCCAAAGATAAAATTTCCTTACATAATATTCAACTAAGTATGATCTTGCCCTGCTCTCCTTTCCCAGGGCATTTTATGGAATCTCTTATGTCTCTGCCAAACTTGCTGTGGGTACCCCTACCTGACTTGTTACTTCCATAACCTGTTTATTTTCACATTTAAATACCTCTTCACCAATTATATTATGCTCCTCATCCCCTCCACCTAATTGGCCCTGGTGAGCTCCTAATTTTCCTTTAAAACCAAGTTCAATCACCTCCACATTTGTGAAAGTTTCCCTGGCCAACCTAAATAGAGCTACAAACTGCCTTCTTTGTACACCATTATATCTTGTACATATTTTTGTTGGTCGTCACACAACGTCATGTTCCAATTATTAGTATATGTTTATCTGCAATAGCCTGTGAGCCCCTAAAGGGCAGGTCTCTGGTCTTGTTCAATTTGGAGTTCTTAACACATAGCACAAAACTCATGCTCTATATACAATTACTGACAACGATGGAAAAGTACTGAACAAATCACTGCTACATAAAACACTCCAAGACAGTAATAAAGGGAATTAAGGCATTTCCTAAAGAAGGCTCTTTACCTTGTTTTGTCATTTTTGGACACCAGAACCTTAAATTTATAGTAATTAGGGCCCATCTGATCTAAATATCTTTTTGTGGCAGTATCTAGAAGAATTTTGGAATTTGTAAAGGCTGTGTAAGTATTTGTTAATGACGATTAAACTCTTACCAGAACATAGAGTTAGGGTAAGGGTGAGGATAGGAATGAGAATTGTATATAGCTTACTATGTTTACCAGTAACCAGAGCCCTTGTCCATTTCAGTCACTGCAGTACCTTATAATCCTTAAGTGACACAGAAGACAGAGACTGGTCAGGCTTTCAGAGTCTCATCAGATCCTACTGATAATATGAAGATCGCTAAGGTCATGGGTGCAGGAAATGTAGCCACTCAAAGATCAGAAGTATAAATATTCATTAAGGCTTTAACAAACAGATTAATCTCCCCCACCCTCACCCCCACATTGTACAACTACTCTTTTTTGTCAGCTATTTTATTTTTCTCCTTTGACCATGACAATCTACATCTCATGACAAGCAGCTGGGTTTTATTTTAAAATATGGAAAAACCAAACTACATACTGATGGTGCTGCCAATTTGAAGATGTTTCACCTCACCTTGGGTCTCTCTCCCTTCTAAAAGCAACTGCTTCAACTTTTGCTTTTACCTCCTTTGTTTCTCTGTACAAAGTTCAGATATGGTCTATACTCCCATCTCAGCTTCCAGGAACCTAGGAATTAATCTCCCTTTTGCCTCACTGTCTTCACTGTATCCCCTCTTCTTTACTTGTGCAAATCAACATATCCATTTATTCCATAAATGATTTTTTAGTACCTACTATGTTCCAAGAACTCTTCCAAGCCCTGAAACTAGACACACATCCATGGAGCACAGATTCCAGGGTGAAGAGCAGATAAAAACCACACATAAATATACAGTAGATCAGACAGTGATAAGTTCTCTGGAGCAAAAGAAGACAGGGAGGGCAGATAAGAAGTTGGCGAGTGTGGAGTCGGGTATAGTCTTAAATAAGGTATTTGTGAAAAGACTGATTGAGGCAGTGATATTACAGCAAAGACTTGAAAGTTATCTGGGGGAAAGAGAAGATCTGGCAAGGAGAAGAGTAAGTGCAAAGGACCTGAGGTAGAACCATGCCCGGTGTGTTCAAAAACAGCAAGAAGACTGTACGAATAGAGTGAAGCAATGAGGAAAGACAAAAAGGAGATTATGTCAGAGAAGTAATTGAGGGAGAGCACATTTAGAGGCCAAAGTAAAGAATTAGACTTTTACTCTGAATGAAGTAGAGGTTATTGGAGGGTGCTGGCATGATCTGACATATTTTGAAAAAATGCTTTTGGCTTCTGTGTTCAAAATAGCCTGGGAGGGAGGGAAAGTGTAAAAGAAGGAAGCCTATTGTACAGGCATCGCAAAATCTAAATGACAGCTAATGGGGCTTAGATGGAGTATAGCAGAGGAGAGGGTGGGAAATGGTCCAACTCTATATATCTACCGAAAATAAGGTCACTCATGGTAGAAGGGAAAAGGAATCAAGATGACACCACAGTTTGGGTCTGAATATGAGAGGATGGAGTTGCCACTAACAGAGATGGATATGATTGGAGTTCAGATTTTTTTTTATTTAGGGGAGGTTAATCTTTGTTTAAGATACATTCATTTTGAGGTGTTTAATAAACATCTAAGTGGAACTGTCTGGTAAACAGTTAGGAGAGATTGTAAACCACGAGATTAAATGGGATTGTCAAAGCCATGACCACAGAGAAGAGACCAATGACTGAGCCTTAGCGCCCCCCAGTGTCGATGAGTAGGAACCACGCAAGGACACCAAAAGGGCCGTTCCAGTGAAGGAGGAGGAAAACCAGGAGAGCGTGATGCTCTGGGAGCTAACAGAATGAAGTTTGTCAAGAATGACAGAGTGCCACTCACTGCTGACACGTGGAGATGAGGAATGAGAATTGATCAGTGGCCCTTCCAGAATCCCACTTGGTTTCAGCTCCACCCCCCCTCACTGTGTGCCTGCTAGATGACAAATGCATTTTATATGATTACTTGCTTTATTCCTCACAAGAACACTATGAAGCAGAAGTTAATATCTCTATACTTTTAATTGAAAAACTACAATTTAGGCAGTTAATAACATGCCCCATGTCACAAGGCCAGTAAAAATTGAGCTGGGATCAACACAGGCCTACATGAACCTAAAAGTAAAGGCCTCCATCACTGTGCTAAGCTGCCTGTTCACCTGCCTCCTATGGGTTAATCTTTGGGAGATTGGAGGCCAAATATTCAAATACAAGATGTTACTTTATTCACACAATGTACTGGCCATGCACTTGGCTACCCACCCACTGACCCTTTTATATTCTATTCATCACTTAGAGGGCAGCTTGAGAGAATTCATATTTGTGATTTCTGCAGATGACATTATTACATCCTAGAAGTAATATTGATTGCCTACTTCAATATATTCCTAAGTCTGATTGTTCATCTGTGTCAATTCTTTAATATGGGCACAAGAAGCACACAGTCTCCTCGTTTTCAAGGCTCTTTGTAGCCAAGGAATAGATTTTCTCTGGGGTTTATTTCCCCCTTCCTCAGAGACTACTTGATAGATTTCCTCTTGAGTAGGCTACAAAGTACAACAAAATGTTGCTTTTAGAAATGGTCAGTTAAAAAAAATCAGCTATTAACATTTGTTACTGCATCTCCCACTGTGATCCAGAGTAGTACAAATAGCTTTTAATATCTTACTTGTAAATGGACTTTAATTGTGTTTCATTTCTGGGAAATATCCTCTGACTTCTACTTAAGATGTTATCTTTCCATACTGCGAGACAGGCTAAATCCAGGCAAGAACTGGGATAATTAATTTCCTTGTACAAAGACTGGATGAGTCAAAGCAAGATTCTTTTGTTGGCTATCTGGATGGACCCAATGTAATAACAGGATCATTTGAATGTGGAAGCGGGGTGAAGGAGAGTAAGCATCAGAGAAAGACCTGATAAGGCTGCAGACCTGGCTTTGAAGATGTAGGAAGGGACCATGAGCCAAAGAAGTGAATCCTCTAGAAGCTGGAAAAGACAAGAAATTCTCCCTGAAAGCCTCCAAAAGGAACACAACCCTGCCCATACCTTGTTTTTAGCCCAATGATACTCATTTTTAATTCAGAGCTGTAAATCCAAATTACCTTCAAAACCAGAGATGGTAAATATTTGTTGTTTTAAGCAACTAGATTTGTGGTAATCTGTAACAGTAGCCATGGGAAACTTACACGACATTCAATCTCATGCCCCGATGCCAGCAGTGCTTATGGTGATCTAGAATTATTCCATGATCACATCAAGCGATCGCAACAAAGCATGTGCTGTCAGAAAGGACACACCAACAAGCTTCAACTCCTGAACCGCATCTTTATTCACACACAGTTGGTATCCTCTATCCTAGCAAATAAACCCTGTGATAACTCAGTTGCAGGGATTTGTCTCTGAGAAGTTCCCAAAGTTTTAAAATCTAAACCACAGACATGTCTCATCCTATGATAGGCATCCCAGAGAGATCAGAGTTAACTCCAGGACAATGTGTAGGCTCAGGCTGGTCTTGAACTCCTGACCTCGGGTGATCCTCCCACCTCAGCCTCCCAAAGGGCTACGATTACAGGTGTGAGCCACCGCACCAGCCTATACAACAAATTCTTAACCTTGGTAACTTCCAGAGAGGGGAATGAGAGAGGTTTCAGAGATGAAGATACCAGTTTCCCCGGTTCCTTGAGTCACTGAAGATTCAAATTCTCCACTTTGTGAGGTAACCCTTTGATAAATCCTTTTCCTTTCTTTGGCTTTACTTGTGCCATCTGTAACATGTTAAACTAGATGGCCACCAACGACTTATTTTTTTTCTTTTTGAGACAGAGTCTCACTCTATTGGGCCAGAGTGCCGTGCCGAGAGCCTAGCTTACAGCAACCTCAAACTCCTGGGCTCAAGCAATCAAGGACTGGGTTCACATTAGCCACGTTGTAGAAAGACATTGCCATAATCTCACTAGTAGAGGCCACCATCACATACGTCAGTAACCCTAACTGCCTGGATCCACATCTCCCTGTGTAAGAAGACCTTAACTCTGACCATTTAACAACTTCTTACCTTATGTTTCTCTCATAAATGGATCAATGAGTTCCAGACTTTGGGTACAAATGTATGAAAACACAAGAAAATCATATCTCCTTCTTAAAAGCCTAATCCCAGAAGTGATATCCATCACTTCACTTCATATCCATTGGTAAGAACAAATCACATGATCACAGAGATGCAAGAGGAATGGGATGTTGGCAACCACTCCCCAGTGACAGTTATACATTATGGAAAGAGAGCTTGCATTTAAGAGGAAAGTTGGTCATCTCTGCCACAAGTGAAGAGTTCTGCAAACATAGGAAGGCATTGAAAGGTGCTAAGTAGTTAAAAGAAAGCGTCAAATGTCTATCACTGAAGGTCATCGGCACCAAAAGTTGCTTCTCAACTTACAATGCAATTATATCCCAATAAACCCTTTGTAAGTCAAAACTGTGTCTAATATACCCAACCTGCTGAACATCCTAGCTTAACCTAGCCTACCTTAAATGTGCTCAGAACACTTACATTTGCCGACAGTTGGGCAAAACCATGTAAAACAAAGACCATTTTATAATAAAGTGTTGGATATATCATGTAATTCACTGAATACTGTACTGAAAGTGAAAAACAGAATGGTTGCATGGGTACCCAAAGTACGGTTTCTACTGAGTGCGTGTCACTTTCACACCACTATAAAGTCCAAAAATTGGGCCAAACATCATAAGTTGAGGACCATCTGTATAAGAGTAAAAACTCTATTGTTCTTGCACAAATAGCAGTTATCAGGAAAGAAAGCACAGCAATTTCTGTTGGCTATACCCAAGCATTCGACAAGAAAAGGCATTTTGTACCAAAGTCATTCAAGCATCTATATGAAGAAGTAATTGTGTGCCTAGGTAATCAATGCTCCGACTGGGAATAGACAATTAAAGTGTTGATGTATATTGTATTGTACTAAAATGTTATGCTTCTTTTTTATTTGCTGTAGCAGTGCAAAAGTTCTTGCTCATTGTCCCAAAACAAATAGAACTATTACTTGTATTCCACTGTTTATGCCACTATGACATAGTTTTATAAATTAATCTATCCTGTTTCTGATACTTATACATACAATTTTCTTCTCTGGAGAGTTTCAGGAGAATATTCTTTGCCCCCACCCCCCGCCCTGCGCCCCCACAATTGCCTATGCACATCCTCAGAACATGCATAAGGCATACTGCACTACCTTAGCTGGAGGGACTAGGGAAAGTGTCTGCTAAGACTTTGCTCTCTTGGACCGTGGCAGAAGTGTATGGACCGGAGTGGCTGCAGATCATGTTGTGCCTGGGGTGAAGTCCCATTAGTA